TTTTCATTCTGGGTGATGAGCTATTTATGAAGTGAGCTTGGAAAATTAGCCTGTGGAGACGTGTGATTGATACATGATGCACAGCTTCTCCTCTTCTCCCATTGCTTCCTACCTTGGTGCTCTGCTCTGCAAGGAAAGGCAGAACTGACCTGCCAGAACCATGTGCCCTGCACAATGGTGACCCCAGCTCTGAACATCTCCAGGACAATGTGGTCACGGAGGAAGACCTCCAGCATGATGCTGCCAGCCCCTGCGAAGATGGTGATGAGCAGCAGGGAGTGGATATGCTGATCCAGCATGGGGCGGTGAAGGACGTGGTAATAGAAGAGACAACCTGCCAAAACACATAGCACATGGAGAGCAGCACCAGCAACACCCACCACGGCCACAGAGGAAAGGAAATCCCCAGCCTGTTGGCAAACTGAGGCAAGTCACCACGAAAACAAGGGACTCCACATAGCACCATCCCTCTAGGTCACCTGGAATCCAACCATGCTGGAGGAGATGCCCAACCTTGGGGCAGAAGGATCTGAGCAATACAGGGACTAAAGACAGAGTGGTTTTCTTCCCATGTCTGTGCCATCAGCTCTTCAGATCACCTTCCCCTTGCAACTACATTTCTGCTGTGTTCTTCTTTCCTATTGCTAAACTATCCCATTTTTGGGGGGAGTTTTAAGTGATAATCTTTCTCTTCTTCCCTGCCAAACTGCCTGTTGAGCTGCCCCTGCTGCTGCCTCAAAACCTGCTGTGATCAGGGAAAGGAAAAAACCAGTTGTGTGCCTTAAGGGGGTTTCTGTACAAGCAAGACCTTCTTTGCCCATGGCAGGGGGTTAGAACTAGGTTATCTTTAAGGTTCTTTCCAACCCAAACCTTTCTCTGATTCTGATCCAGGAGGGGTCTGCAATCCTGGCTGGAGACTTGCAAGACAGCCTGGAGACAAAATGATATTCATGATGTGCTGAAGGCAGAATAAGTCACTTCAATTTGCCACGTGCCACGCAAGCAGATGAGGATGAGGATGTCTGCAGAGCAATGAATGGCTCTCGGGGGGAACAGGGGCAGGAGAACAGCTCTGTGGATGTCAGATGAATGCAGCATCCACAGGCATTTATCACAATGAGGAAGCTCATTCTGCTGCTCTGCACCCCAGAAATCCCAAAGCAGAACCTATTGATCAACCTCAACCTGGAGCAACCTGCTCTGGTGGGAGGTGTCCCTGCCCAGGGCAGGGGGTTGGAACCAGATCATCTCTAGGGTCCATTCCAACCCCTTATCATACTGTGATAACATACTACGATGCCTTATCACCTACAATGTGTCCTGTCTCCAGAGGCATTTGGAGCAAAATGTCAGTCAGGCAAATGTTCATAGGATCATCCAGGTTGGAGGAGACCTCTAAGATAATCAAGTCCAACCATTAACCTGTCACTGCTGGAACCCCTAAACCCTAAGCTAAATCCTCTAGTGCCACATCTAGACACCTCTTAAACACCTCCAGGGCTGGTGACTCCACCACCTCCCTGGGTAAACTATTCCAGTGCCTGAAAACCCTAATTTTGATCCCTCTCTGCCTCATTGTCCAACCTCAACCTCTCCAAATTCGGCATCGCCTTCTACTGACCTTCAACAAACACAGCCACGGAGAGCATGAGACGATCCAGACCCCGTGGCACCAGCTGGGAGATGTAGGTGAAGACATCCACCACCCCAGACAGTCCATAGAAGAGGTACATGGTGGTGTGCTGCCAGTTCATCAGCTTCACCCAGTCGCGCTTGTCCCCAACGTAGAGGTACAGGTGTGGCCCATCCGGGACAAACTGCTCCGCCAGCATCCCTGCATGGACACCCAAGAGCATGGTGTGGCTGCTGGTTTATTGGCAATGATGGGAGATGCTACTCATTGCTGCTGAGGGGCTCTGAGGCAAGAGCTGGTGGGATTTTATTAGGGAGAAAAGAAGGGCTGAAAAAATCAGGCCTGACTCTTACTGGTAGCTCAGCTGTGGGAAGGGGTACAAGACTTGGTCTTTTCACATCAAAGTCTACAAGAGATCAAGGCAAGATGAACATCAAGGATGCAGCCAAAAGTGCCCAGGGCAGTGGTGGAACCACAGTCCCTGGAAGTGTTCCAAAAAGGTGTAGATGTGCTGCTCAGGGTGGTGGTTTAGTGGTGGGTTTGGCTGTGGAGTGGGACTTGATCTTAGAGAGCTTTTCCAACCTAAATGATTCTCTGATCCTTTCACATTCAGATCAATTTCTCTGACCCCAGTGCAGTTAACTCTGCAGGCTGGGAATTAACCCACATAGCAAGGAAAGGACAACCCTTACCTATCAGGGCAAAGACGATTTTGATTCCCCCTTCGATGGCATCCACACACTGGAAACAGTGAGCCCTGTGGGATTTCTTATTTGCTTTCTTGCTGAGATACTGCAGAGGGTATTTCACAGACCACCAGAGCCCAAAGAGCACGAAGAAGCTGCCTGGAAGTGCATGACCCTTGAAGTTTGCCATCCTGATGACCTCCTTGGGCTACAAGAAGAAAGAATATGTCATTGTACAACTTACACCAGTTATTTGACATAACACTGGACAAAAATAGGATCTCCCATTCAGGGAGGGCTGGAAAAGGCTAGACCAGGCACATGGGAATAGGAAGGAGCAATGGGAAACCTTCCAAGGGTGAGAGGTGGGAACATCTGGGACCTCTCTGAGGTCCTTGCCCCAAGATCAGGAAATGTCAAAAAAAGTCAGATTAGTTTAGCACAGGCCCCAAATCTGCTGCAATCTCTCACATCTCAGCTTGCATTTTGCATTCCTGGGATCCTTCCTAGAAGTACCTCCTGCTTTTCCTGCTCTTCTGCAGATATGAGCATAAGAATCCACTGCAGACCAGGGCAGGTTTGGCTTTTTGGGACCAAGTAGGAGAGATAATACACAGGGAAAAGAATATGGTCTAGGGGTAAACACCAGTGGGTTTCTTTAGCTCCTTGAACAGCCACAGAAGTGCTGTACTATGTTCTAAAGGTTTTAAAATTCCTGGAATTATTTCAGCCCATGAAAGGGAGGGAAAAAACCCCCTCCATAAAGCCAAAGTACTTTGTTAAAATTATAGCTTCAAAAATACCCCAAAAGCTGCTGGAAAAAAAACCATTGTGGGGTTGGGCAACCAAACCAACTCTGTCCTTGCATCTCCACCTCCTCCCACTCCTGCTTCCCTCTCCAGAGCCTCCCTAAGCCAGGATTTGCACCAAGGATCCCAGGCAAGCTGCTGGAGCCTCCGTGCTGGAGTGCACACACACACAGTTAGTAGGGAGCTGAGGGACCCATTTCCTGGGAGAATTACAGCAATTAAGCCCAGCCATTTGCTGCTTTGCTTAATTAGGTGGAGAACTGATTAGCTCTTTCATGTGGGTTCCAGCATATGTTCAGGGTCTGCCTTGGTGTGAGCTGGTGTCAGGTTGGGCAATTAGGATTGGTTTAATTGATAGGAAAGGCTGTGCTGCTGCTGCTGCTGCTGCCCAGGACTTCCTTCTCCAGCTAGTAACCTCCTCTCTGTGCTGAGATGTGCTTAATCCTGGGCAGAAACCATATCCCTTGTAGCATGGATGGACAGCAATGACATAGCAAGGGTTTGGAGCTGGACCTGACCTCCCAATCCTAGCCACACACATCCTGATCATCCTTAAACCTCCTTCCCCAGTGGCATTTTGGGCTTCAGTCCTCACTCATTGGAAATAGAAGCCAAAACTGCACTTATTTTGCTGTTGTATAAAGGATGATTTGGGTGTGAGGCTGACCATGGCTCACTGCTGTCAGCCTTGGAGAGTGGTTGCTCTGGCATAATATCTGAGTTCAGGTCAGTGTGTCCCAAAGACACACTGTTTCATCCCTTGAAGTCCATGGCTGGTGCAGATTACATCTCCTAGAGGCATCTGTCCCCAGGCAGGACAATCTGCTGGGTTAGATCTGATCTCCTAAAGCCTTGTAGCCAACCTGCCCCTTCTGAACTGGTTTAACCAAACCTTGAGCTCAGCAAACATTGGCTCCTGGAGCAAACGCCACCCTGTCTGTGCAGCCACACACAGCAGCAGATGATGCTGATGTCCTTGCAGCCACACCAGGCTGGTCCCACAGTCAGACACCTCTGAGCTCTCCCAGTAAGGTCATGCAAAGAGGAGATTTAATCCAAGAGTGCCAAAGCCATGCATGGAAATGGTATTTTGTCCCATAGTGGCTGGCAGCTTTGCAGGCTGTTGTTAGCAGCACTCCAAGGCTCTGCCTTATCTCCTGACTTAAAAGGAGAGATTTATTGACAGTGGGTGCATTGGGTAATTAAACAGAAAATCAAAGCAAGATGCTGTTTACCAGCAGTGCTGGCATGGTCCAGTGGGTTAGTATAATTGTCTCTGCAATCCTTTGATAGAGAAAAATCTGGGAATCTGAGCATCTACCTTGTATCCCTGTGGTTAAGGAAGCAGCATTCCCAAGCCAGGGAGAGTGCTGAAAAAATCTGTATTTTGTGGGTGAGCAGAGAACTCCATCACATATATCCAATGGGGAAATGGCTTTAAACTGAAAGAAGGGGAATTTAGATTAGATGCAGGGAGGAATGGTACAATATCTCTTCTCCCAGGCAACCAGCAGCAGGACAAGAGGGCACAGACTCAAGCTCTGCCAGGGGAGGCTTAGGTTGGATATTAGGAAGAGATTTTTTCCAGAGAGAGTGATCAGACATTGGAATGTGCTGCCCAGGGAGGTGGTGGATTCACCATCCCTGGAGGTTTTCAAGCTGAGATTGGATGTGGCACTTGGTGCCATGGTCTGGTAACCACGGTAGGGTTGGACTGGATGATCTTTGAGGTCTTTTCCAAGCTGGTTGAATCTATGATTCTATGATTCTATGATCAGGATAATGACTGGAAGCAGAACTAAACCCGTCCTGGAGTACCACAACAAGAAGTACTGCAGCCACATCATGCCATAGTCATGCTATAATATGACCACAGCAATATATAGTCAAATATATAACTCTATGATGCAGCTCCAGAAATTACATGTTAAAGGCAGATAGATAGTGGGACCTGGTGGTTTCCAACCTGAGATCAATGCAGTCAGTCTGGGATGACCCAAGGAACACTGCTCAGTCACACCTGAAGATCAGCTGGAGTGTGCACATCCTGCACATCCACCTTACAGAGCTTACCTGAGTGGGCTGAGCTTGGTGGGGTGATGGGGACTGTTCTGGGGTTGCTGCAGTCTGTACTAGAATCAGAATCAGAGAGTCATCAAGGCTGGAAAAGACCTTTAAGATCATCAAGTCCAACCATCTACCAGCACTACCACTGTAACCCCTAAACCATGAAACCCTATCACCCAGTTCCAGATCCAGATGCCTCAAACACCTTCAGGGATGGTGGTTCCACCAACTCCCTGGGCAATGTTCCTGTACCTGAACACCCTAACAGAGAAAATATTTTTCTGATATCTAATCTGAATCACCCCTGTCTCAGCCCAAAGCCATTACCTGCCCAACCCCTCACTAGTTAGAAGCACATGGCTTAGCTGGGACATGTGACCAACAAAACTATTTCTCCTGTTTCTCTTTCTCCTCTGAAAACATGCAATAGGTAAGCACAGGGGGAAAAAAACAACCACAGTTATGTTTGTGCCCTGGGGCAAACAGCTCTCCTTTATTCCTAGAGCTCCACAGGCAGAGAGACTTGCCTGCAAGCAGCAGGGAAAAGAACAAGCTGCAGGGCCAGTGGATGCTGGAGTTGGTGGCCACAGCCACCAGCCCAGGACATCCCTGGTGAGTGTGACTTTGCCTCCTTCCCTCACCAGCCAACCTGCATGTTGGATAATGCACTTGTGTCCCTGCTGGCTTGTAATTAGTGCACTTTGCCCCCTGTTTATTATGAAGCCCTGAGCTGCATCAGCTTAATGATTTACTGTTTCATCTGCTCTTATCACCTCCCAAAGGACTTGGTTTCTTCTTGGTTTAGAGCTAATGCACCCAAACCACCACGGGAGGCATCCAGAGCAGCCCAGAGGATGGTGAGGAGCCTCATTAGGCTTTCACCTCCTCCTCTCACCCTACCCTGGCAGCCACAAAACCTCTTTTCAGCCAAAACCTGGGCCATTTTACTTGTCCAAATGTCTCATTTGCTTTACTGAGGGTGGTTGTTGGGGTTTTTTTCTCACAGAAGGTTTTATCTGTGTACAGAGAGTGTCTCAGTCAGGGTATCACTTCCATTTTCCCCAGCTTTGAAATTGCAGTCTAAAGTTCACCAGTGGAAACAGTTCACAGCCATCACCCCTACAATTAACTTTGCCCTTCAACCCCTCTAAATCAGGCAGTTCAGGCACACCAGAGCTGGTTTGCTCACTGTGGGACCTGCTGCTTGGCTCTCACAACATCTGTGGGTGACAGGGACAGTCCCCAGGGAAAGGCTGACTCAGGGAAGGAAAGAAATGTCTTGGCTTGCAAAAAAAAGCCTAACCCAGGCTGAGCCGGGGAATGCCCTGAGATGTGTGTCTGGAAATAATGAAGCTATTTCCAGCTTTCCAAAGTTGGTTTGTGTGTCCTCATGCTGAATCTGCAGCTGCAGGAGAGCATCAAACCCAGACCTGGAGACTGACAGCAGCTGAGGTGCTGTGACCAAACAAAACATCCTCTGTCAGCCCATTCCCTACCCTGCACATCCCTGAACACAACATAACCCCAAAAACTGCACCTGGGAGAGCAGGCAGTGCTCCAGCAATGTGGGGACTGGGGAAGAAGTCACAGAGGTGAGACAGGACAGAAGGATGGCACAGGAGACACCCAAGGGCTGTCAGGAGAGGCATCATCACAAAGAGAAGCTCTCCTGTATCCTGCACTGCCTCACTCCATTTCCAGCAGTCTTATTTGTCTGCAGAGGCACTTCTAATCATAGCAGCACTTCCATTAGCTCCCCTAGGAGCTGGATCCCTAATGCATTAGTGTCAGGCTAAAACTCCACTCTGAACCATTTCATCCCATTATCGTTGGGTTTTCTTCTCTCTCTGCCTCCATCCACACTGGGGAGTGTTAACAGTGACACTGAGCAATCATGTTCCTAACACTGCTGAGCCCAGACATAGCTGAAAAAACAGAAAAGCAACTTTCCTGCCTCTAAAGGATCCTTAAGTGTTTTAGACTTAGGTTAAAAAATTATCATCATCATTGGAAACTATTAGGCTCAATTGCTGGGGAGTATCTGAAGGACCATCAGGTGCTGCAGGAGCTTGTGCAGTGGCTGCAGATAGACTGAGATAATTCATCCCATTGAAATGGCAAAATTCAATGTGGAAGTTCAACCTGGGGTGAAAGCTTCACATTCAGGATGCTGGACCTGAGGTCTATTTAACAGACACAATGGACCCACTTGAAAAGAGACACTGGGGGAGAGAGATGTAAAAGCTGGTGCTGGAGAGGTGAGACTGCTCTCTGCCTGCACATCCTTACTGCCTCTTTTTACCTCCCTGGTTCATAAATCCC